GACCTCTAGACTGAAAAACTTTCTTTCCCTCTGCCATCAGACTCCTAAACAGCTGACAGTAGTTTATTATCAGGAATTACTTCATGTAATTGCACCTGTACTGTTTACATTCCAAGTCTGCACATGCATAATTGCACTCTCACTGCTGTCTATCTGCACACACAGCTCCCACATAGCATATATTCTCTCTTCATTATAGTGTTCTTGTTGTATTTTTTATGCTTTTTTCATTTGCTGCTTTAAAGTTCCTTAGATTTGCGTTACCTGCTTATTATCTACCTTATATTTCACTTGTATTATGTGGCATTCATGTGGACGGCAAAGTAAGAATTTCATTGTACAGGGAAACACGTTTCCTTACTGTACATATGACAATAAACACTTTGACCTGAACAGAAACATTAACCAAAATCTAACCGTGCATGCACACAGAATCCAGTGTTCCTTGGGTCTCTGTAGGTTTTGTTTTGTGTATTTAAGTGGACAGAAACCAAAGACTAATTAACAGTATCCTGTTTGGGATTGTACTGTTTAGCTGGGTAATGTCATCACCAAGCGAAGCAGCTTTATTTATACAAACACAGAGGTGATTTGAAAGTGATTTTCATGAAGCTAAGAAAACATTAGAACCAAATTCAAAAGCAAAAGGAATAAAAACCAGAGGATAGAGGGACAGACTCACGGTAGCCAGCGGCAGCAGGTACGCTCGGTACTTCGCTGGGATGAACTCCGTCTTCAACACAAAGCTGGAACAACAACATGGACCTCACCCACAACTCTCTGTCTGTGTGTATGTGCTAATGTGTGTGTGTCAGCATGTGTTTATGTGTGTATCAACTGACCTCTGGGACACGGCTGCTACGCCGCAGCCTACCATGCTACGCAGGAAGATGAACCAGCCGTACGATGGAGCGAAGGACGTGAGGAGGGAGAAGTAGGTGCTCCACACAAACCCTCCGAACACCACCTGGTTTTACATAGATATACATGCAGTATATATATACATATCTACACACAGAGAGCCGGCAAACAGACTCCAGGTTAAATATGACCTGCAGTGTAAACATTAAAGCATGATGAACCTTCCAGCGTCCATATGTGTCAGAGAGGTATCCGCTCAGAACACCACACAGCATGAAGCCAAGAAACACCATCTGAGAGGAGAATACACACAGTACTACAAGTAATACTTCACTTTTAACCTTCTGGCCTCTGTAGTCTGAATGTGAACATGAGTTACTGTATGCGCAGTACTGGTCTTCACATGTAAGATACAGTGTGAATACTTTGTCTAATACTTCACAAACACAGTGACAACACCAGTATTTATTGTTTGTGTATAAACTCACAGTGGACACGAGCGCGACCTGCCAGTCCTCCAGATGCCACTCACATCGAATTTCAGGAGAAGCTACAGCCAGCAGCATGATTTCCATTGCCTCCACTATCTGCAGGTACACAGAAATACGTATATTGCATGCATGGCTGTACTTGGATCAGCCATTCACCTGCTCCCAGATGCAGGAAACATTTGGAGAACATCGTTGTCTAGTCCTCTGCAGATTTAGCAGCGCAATTTCTTTCATAAGCACTTTTTGTTACATTTCTTGAATTTCTCCTTTCGTCCCGATGGCAGTGAACACATTAAATACACTGACAACAAACAAACAAACCCGTTGTCCCAAGCAAAACCAATGGACGACCTACCTGCCTATTGACCTACTTCCTACTCACACACTCTGCCCGTGCACTCAATGCACGAGCCAAGAGTTTCCCACAAGGCACAGCAGTTGCAGGCAGATGTTACTGGTCTGTTTCACTAGCTAAAGCTAGCGACCTATGGCAGAGAAGGTACCCCAGCAGCTTTGGTTCACAAACAGAGACCGTTACAGGCCAGGCTAAAGCAGCTTGGCCATGAACCAGAGCTCCCCAGCCACGGTTCAGGGTCGCAGATCTCAATGGGTAACATCGTATTTGAGAAAGTTACAACTAAAAACAAGTTGGATGCTGCAAGAAGTAAAACCAGAATTGAACAACGGCAACAACTGAGAGAACAAAGGGGGCCGAACAGTGGCACCACGGTGTCCGTGTTATTTGATATTTTCCCGACATCTGTAAGTAGTAGTCAGGAAGTGCACATTGCACTGCACATTGTGTTTTGGAGGAGTGGCTTTGGAGAGAAGTCAGAATGAAAGTGTGAGACGTCTTCAGTTGTCTTCTTTCAAAATGGAGCTTCCTCTTGCTGGTTTTCCAGGATCGTCAACCCTACTTTAAAAGCTAGTGGCAATAATGAACCGTCTCCAACTTGTCTTGTATTCTAACAAATGTCATGTGAATCTTGTTTTCTCACTAACTGTGTTTTAGTTTGTTTATTCTTACAGTGGCACTCCCCATGATGACGAAGAGCATGATGTGGAATCGACCAAAGCCGACAGCTTCCACAGCTTCCTCCACAGTGTACGTCTGATCCGACGCTGCAGGAAAACACAGGCTGGTGTTAGGAATCAGAATCTCATCACGTCTCTTACTGTCTCAGAATTCGTCAGTGTCCCAAGACACAGGCCATGACTTTTCCACAACTTACTCACCAGTGTTGTCCTTTGTGCCCTGCTGATTGTCTGCAGGTTTCACCTGCAGTTCTACCTCCTGCAGATGGATGGCGCTCACCAGCTCAGTCTTCATTCGGTCATCCATCCTGAAAACAGCAGCCTCTTTTACACAGAGATTTTGCTATTTTGGCGTTAAGCTGCCCTTTCTTGAACGCAGCTTCACCTGTTTACACTGAGCTAAAGACCAACAATGGAGCACGAACAGCAACAGCACAACTGACCAGCGCTGTGCACAGTGTCTAACATGTTAACAATTATGGTCACGGATCTATTTCTTGTGTGGAACATTAAAATTTATGATTTAAAATAAATTCCCCAGTGGCATGTAGTAGAAACAACATTTCATCAAACCTTCACACAGCTCTGCCCAGGGCGGGTTTTATTTACGCCAAACTGACAGAAACAGAGGCTACAGAAGTTGAGGAAATGATGCAAAACAGAGAATGGACAAAGCATCTTCAGAAATCCATTAGACTGGTTATTAAAACCTGTCTGTCACTATGTCCTTCATTTGAATCATCTTGGCAAAAAAATGTACAGGGAATAAAGCAGCATTATCAGTTTCCCATGTTGTAAAAGCAATCAATCACATGAATTCTGTGGTAGCTTGGAATGCTAGTGACTGAGGTGTAAACAGTGGACATTTAACCAATCAGGGGCCACTGATCACGCACCCCGTCCCGTTCCTGGAACTTCATTTCAGTACAACCCCCTGAGAGCTGTTTACATTTAGGAAGCACCTGCAGTGGACACAAACGCAGAACCCATTAGGAGCCTTACTCGGATCTACAGGTTTCGGTAGGTTCCTATAATGGAAAAACTCCTTCTGTGTCCTCCCCAAGGCAAAAGTCTAACTTTATGTGAATGCATATGAAGACACTTCGCCTGTTTGTTTGTTTAACCCGTTTCCACTTTTAGGGCCTTTCACAAATTAGAGACTGAAATTCGGAGGGAAACTTTAAACAGACCCGGATTTAAATGGGATTTGACAAGAGTTCCCCCCAGGGATCGGCCATAAACGGACTGATTCTGAAGCTGCATTAGCAGACATTAGCAGCGGACGGCAGCGTTGGCTTCGGAGGCTTCGGAAGCTTCGCGCGGCGCACTAACGACCACCGAATGTTTGTCTACAGTCACGTTAATATCAGTTTCCTTTACTTACACTGCGGCTTGTTTTTATCTCTGGAGCTGCTACTGCTTCGCTCTCCTTTTATAACTCGAGGTGCACCCATCAGCAGATTATTCCGGAACTACTGTTGTTGTTCACCTGACCAGGTGTATGAAGAAGTGGCATCGTCACCAGGGGAACCGGCAGGAAGAAGAGGGGGGAGGGGCCTTTGGAGGCCTTTTACTGCCAGGGAAATGAATAAATAATGAGACATGAAGAATGACAAAAGTTCATCTACTCACAGTTTTCATGTGTCAGAGTCAAAATGATGCAACATTAGGTTTTGTTTGTATCACACAACTGAAGCCAATATAATGGCGTTGTGAGAAAACCAGTCAGTCACTTTTTTAAATAGATTTTTTTCTTGATCACATTTTGTCTGCAAACATTAGAACATTCTCAAAATATACTATTCTTGAAATACGGACTTCTGAAATGGTATGATTTGAGTGTCAAAACACTGCAGTTTCTTTTTGTAAATATTTTTAAGAAGAAGCTGTATTTATTTTTTTGGCACGTCTCTACATTAAACATGACAAGTAGTCTACTTACTACCTTTTTGAAAAATAGTTTTAAGCATAAATGCATAATGAGTTTTTCTGAAAAGAAGACTTGTTTAAATCTCGAGGGGGGGGGGGGGAATAAATACCTCTGGCTCAACACCAGTCAGGCAGAACTGATGAGGCCTCTTGGATGAGAGGTGAAATCTTGTCCAGTTGATTTCTTTCAAAGTTTTTTTCAGCTTATATTATCAACATTATCTGTTTGATTAACATTGTCTGTTTGCTTTGTTTATTATACTACACAGCCTTATATTGGTATGTTGCTTACTTGCCCCTTGCTGTTACCTTACATAAGGATATGTACATGCACATTGAGAGCCGCTGTACCAGAGTCAAATTCCTCGTGTCCAATGCGCCTGTTTAATAAAGCTGATTCTGATTCTTCTTTTCTGGCAGAAATGGGTTTTGATACAATACTCTACTGTTGGGGTTCTGTTGGTTGTTTGGGCGTGATGTTGCCTGACATTATCAGGAGATTGTTTAGAGGGATTAACAACCTAAAAATATTAGCTTTAACTGCAGCAGTTTAATAAAAGTCCAAAACATGATGTGCCACGTTTTGAATGCAAGACAAAACTAAAAATTTAAAAATGAGTGTTCCTACATTTCATGCAGGCACACTAATAAACACAGGCTACAAAAAAGATGCCAGAGTCTGAATCTGAATACATCTCTTTAATGCTTGCTAACACGATCTTTCAGAATTGAAATACCCCAGGCTGCAGCTCACAGAGTTCAGGTAGAACAGGTCCTGTCATGTGCCACACCCAGATCAGCTGCCAGCTCACCTAGCTGCTGTTGAACTGCTGAGACTGCTGGCAGTGTTCCCAGATCACCGATTTTACATTTAAATAACTTTTCCTTCAGGCTCTGTTTCCACAAAGCAGCTTCACTGAGTTACCTGATCACACCTGGAACCTGGACTGAACTCAGTGGAGCTACCTGTTGGAACCAGAGTCCAGAGAGGATCAACAGGAATGTGGTTTGACTCAGAACAACAGTTGTATGGAAGTTCATTTGTGACGAAACTGATGACTCAAGCCTTCTAGTCACTGAAGGTCTGAACACACAGGAGGATTCATAACAATTTATCTTGTTCCCTAAATTTAATATCTTCTACATGTGTTGCAATCTTGTTCAAAATCTTAAAATTTGTTTGGAAGTTAATCTCTCGTGGACATGAGTTCATATCTTGTTCGCATTATCTTTTTCCCACAAGTCAATATTGTGTTTGTGCAATTTTATGCTGTGGCCAATAATTAGCATCAAGTGTAAACAGGTTAGTATTTTGTGTGCACAATTTTGTATTTTGTACAGACAAATTTATATTTTGAACACAATTTAGTAACTGGTATACATAAGTTAGTGTCTACTTTGACACCTCTCGCATCTTGTTAAAAAGTTAAAAATATGCTGGCACAAGTTAATTTCACATATACACACACGTTAGTATCATGTTCACACAAGAATCTTGTTTGATCATAATATGTGTGCACACGTTGCTGTCTTGTGTGAACATGATTAAAAGTACAATCGACTTTCAGGATGTCCAGGGGCTCTGCACGTGCTCAGTGCCACGTGGGCCTCATAGTGACTCCAGTCTAAATCAGAAGTTTTGTCTTGACTTAAACATCGACAGAGCAACTGGTTGTCTGCTTGATTCTCACTGAGGATCACAGATCTAGAAAACACAGACTATGGAAAACTCTGAAGGAAACATGCAGGAGAAGTCTGTGAAACCTGCAGCAGCTTGAATCCAGAGTTTGATGTGAGAAGACAAGCCTCTCTTTCAATCACACCTGCAGGGTTTTATTTTTTTCATATTTTGTATGGTCCTGATGAGCTTCAGACACACCTCGAGCTGTTGAATTAGCACCATGTGATCCTGTAGGTGAGGCCAAGCTGTACAGTGTGGACAGGTGCTGGGTTCAGTCAGAAAGTCTCCAGCTGGTGAAGAGTTCCGGTCCACGATACCGCTATCAGGCAGATCCTCGAGTCCATTCAGCAGAACAATCACACATTAAATATTATGTATATATATATATATATATATTTGTTTTTAATTCAACACCATATACACATTCATGTACACACAGTTTACTGTAACCATCTTCATTTACGTTCCAAAATATATTATGGAAATGCAAAACAAAAAACAGGATGTATTTTTTCACTGTGTTTGGATGAACAATGTTTTTAGTGGCACTGTGACAATCACTCCTTGCTCCTTTAACCTGATATGGAAGGACTCTTTACTCATACAAGCTTTGCTTTTAACATCTTTTAGCAGCTTGCTAAACCTCAACTGGAACATCATGAGTAGCTAAAGCCTCAAACTTAGTTCAATGTGCTCAAGAGGAGCAGAGAGACAAACAAACCCTCAAGAGGCTCATGGAACCATATTTTACAAGTGATCAACTCTTTCTCAGCACCCGAGAAACAGTTAACCAGCAGAGAAGAGAACCACTCATTCAGTTCTACAACCAGCACATGAAGATAAAGACTGAATCTAAACATCCAAACTTCGCAACTTGCTGACTTTAGAATTTAATGGGATGACGCACAGGAAGTCAGTGAGTGCTGAGGTCTCTTTAAATCTACAATTCAAGCCTACATCTGGTTTTAGGAGGGCTTCTGCAGACCTGAGTCTGCATGGGGTGCAGACTTCACTCAGAAGAGGCAAGATACAGTATAAAAGAAGGGAATTGTGCTACTACAACTGCTAATATAAATATTTATTACCATCATTTTGTTTGTTTTTCACCTACATAATTTTCAAGCAAAGAAGAAGTCAGACCTGGTCTTCTTATCCAACCTACATAAAATTCAGAAAAATACTGAGATTTCAGGGTAATTACAGAATGAGGACCCTACTGAGGAGATTTCATCCCCCCACAAACCTGACGAGATGATGGTGAATGTACAGTACATGACTGAAGTCTGTGAGTCTGAAGGATGGACATCTGGACTCGGAGACTGTTACTAAAGTTTGACTGGGATCTTCCAGCACTTTCCTAAACAGAACTCCTTTGTTCATGGCAAATGTACAACATTTACCATTCAGACTGCAGTGGCCTAAGGTTCGTGGCCATGGTTAGGGTTACCAATCTGACCAGGACACTAAATCTAGTAGGCAAGTTAAAGAACCACACTGACCCTCCTTCATCACCACCACTGAGGCGCTCTTGAGTCCTGAACTGCTCTGTTGGCTCATGTTTTATTTAGACTAGTCTCAACAACACTAGTAATGCCAATTTTGTCTTTGCTAACATCAGCTTTGAGGATGTGACCATCCTCTCTGAACAGGACTTTATGTTAATGAACAAACCTGTTCGTGAGTTCTGATTAATGTGCAGTGTGAGCGCTCATGTTGTGCCAGCGAACATACTGTGCGAGCAGAGAGGTCGTGGATTCAGACCGTGTGGGAAGGCCAAATAGAATGTATAGTGTGAATTAACACATCCTACATGATCAATACAAACTGCACAGTGTCTGCCTGGTTTTATTAGCTGTGGGGAGCTGTGCCTGTCTGTTTTATTTGCCTGGCTACACCTTGGGCCGAGAAGAGGTAGTCTGAGTATTTCCAACACCGATGCACTGCTATACATTCACTAGAATCTGTGTGCAAACCAGGGCTGTTCCAAATGGCAGTTTTTGGGTTCTGGGTTAGGGTTTGCAGTTTGTACTGCAGCTTAAAGTACCTCTTTGCCCATCTGCCAGTACTTTGGGTTAAAAAAGACAAAAGCTATTGAAAGTTATTATGTAATATTTAATGTAACAGATGAACAGACAACGGACCTTCATAACCACAGAATATTCAAATACTAAAACTGAAACCCAATTACCTGCCCAAAGGACGAATATTTGCATACCCAGGTATTTGGGTACAGCCCTAGTGCAAACAGACTCTGGAGGGTGCTGGTGTGTCTGATTTAGCTTTAGCGTCTGGATATCATGAGTGACTGCTTTCCCCTCTCTGCCCACCTACAGAAACACTTTTTATATACCTGTCATCTGACAGACTCATCTACAGGGATCTGCCCACACACTGATGGATGCAACAAATCAGTGACAACTTAAAATGATGTATTATTTATATATATATATATATATTTCACTGCCACTGATACATGAACACGCGAGCAAGAAGCAACACTATGCAACATCTCCACAGAGAAACTAACACCAGCTCAGTATCTACAGTGAGCTGAAACACAAGAGGACTACAACCATAGAACAGTAGTTTGGTCTTTTTTTTTGATCAAAATAAAGGATTTAAAGTATACTTTCATATATAAGCAATAAAAAATACGTAACATCTCAATACTCCAATAATAACTCTTACATTAATACTGTGCTCATTGGGATTCTATCTCTTTACACATTTATATTAATTAGATATTTAAATATACTTTTTCCTGTTTGCGTCCCCATGCTGTAGCAACTGTAGGCCATCTCCAGCTGTCGACAGTGCAAAGACCTCACTGATAAGGTTAATGAACAAAGACCTAATGGGAGTGTGGAAGGCAGTAAGTGGTCACTGAGAAGATGGAAAGAGGCTGATGATTAGCACCACAGAAAGTCCAGAGGGACAATCCACTTCAAAATTTCTGGAGGGACAATCAATACTAGAACATCTGGAGGAAGCGTCTGCCCAAAGAGAGGAGAGATGGTTTACTTCAGAAGCTCTGGAAGGTCAGGAATAAACTGCTATTCCAGAAGTTCAAGAGCGACAAATTTTTTCCATAACCCTGGGGGGTATGAAAGGCCCCATAAGGTCCTCTCCAGAGGACCTTATGGGGCCCTTATGGGGACCTTTTTGATTGTGTCCCTCTCCAGAGGGACACAATCAAAAAGGCCCACTCCATCGCTCCAGGAAGGACAGTCCACTCCAAAACACTAGGAGGGACCAAGAGGGATCAACTACCCCAAATCTCCAGAAGGGATGATCCTCTCTAGAAATCCAGAGGGGACTATCCACTCCAGAAAGTTAGTGTTGATCCACACTTAAAGGATGGCCAACCTGTCCCAAAACCCTGAAAAGGGCAAGACTATACAGTCAAGAAGGCCAGGAGACCATGCACTTCAAAGGTCCAGCAAGGACCATTACTCCTGACGTTATGGGGGACCATCCACGCCTGACAGTCTGGACAGGTGATCCCCATGCAGAAGTTCAGAAAGGATGATCAACTTGAGGAGGTCAGGGGAAACCATGCTCTCCACAACTCCAGAAAGGATGATTCACACTAAAACTCCAGGAAGGACAACCCAGTTCAGGAAGCACTTTAATGGAAATATGAAGAGTCAGACGCCCATCCAGTGAAACACTGAGCTGAAGGATGATGGACATACAGATGGACAAACTGGACCCTGTAGCATACCGAAGGTCTTTTGGTCAGGAGACACCGTATTTGTTTATCATGGTCGAGATTTATTTTGCATTCGGCTCCTCAGACACAAATTAGCTCAAGAGAGTCCAAGGTGTGGAAAAGTTATTTTCAGGGTTTTAATCCAGTCATTACAGGCTCGTAGTGGTTTAAGACAATAACCCTTTAACCAGTTGAGTCCTGATCCATATAGCTACAGACCAGTCTAAGGGTAGCTGGTCACTGCAACCTGTTTCTGGGCCAGACGTCGCAGCTCCTCCCTGATAGCCTTTATAAGAGAGGCTGAAGTGTGGGCAGAGGGTGAGGCATCCTCTGGTGGGTATTCTGGAGTTGGTGAGGTCAGGAGGAGAGGTGGAGCAGATGGGTCCCGCAACAAGGAGCTGGGCATCTGGAAAACAGAGGAAGAAGAAAACTCCGGGAATGACAGCACCTGTAGGGAGAAGGAGAAAGAGTGAGGTCAAGACCAAAAAATAAATCCAGATACAAGACAAGAAGTAAAAACTGCAAAGAACTCCGTCAGTCTTCAAAGGCTAGCAGACATGGACATGTACCTGAATAATGTGAAAGAAACAACACAAAAATAAGTAAACTTTCACCCTTTAAACTGAAGAGAATACCAAATAACTGAGTAACACTGGACTTTTTTGGACCGGTCTGGACTGTTCTGTATACCACCATACCTCTGTAAATTAAAAGACAGAACTACTTGCTTCACTCTAGTTTCATTTGATTTGCATTGATGGCCACAGTAGATTTACACTCTCTCTGCTGGCTCCGGGCCTGGATAAGTCCTGGTCTGAGTGTTGCTGGTTCCAGCTTGAGCTGGTGGGGCCAGACATGCTGCGACCCACCCCAGGATAGGCACCGATCTGACTGGACAAACCCACCTGGGCCAGATGGTGGAGCTGAGCACCTGGAGGTCAACAAATTCAACAGATGCAACAAACTGAAGGAAGAAACACTGTTGATCAAGTTTCAGGTGTGTGCAAGAGGTGGCGACAGGATGTAGGAGCGTTTCATTACTCTGACAGTATTTCAGCTGTAATCAATCGCAACACGTACTGTGACTTCACTAAAAATCCATGCATGTTAAAAACAGCAATGCAGATGATCAGTACATCCAGATGACTGTACCCGTACTGCCCCCTACAGGTCGTGGTCTGGAGGAGGAGGCGGGGTCCTCATACTGCCCCCTGCTGGAGTAGACTGAGTGCTGTAGCTGATCTCCAGTAGAAATATAGCCTCCTGAGCTCAGGCCCTGCCTGAATGAAAAGCACAGATTATCAGTACTGGTTCAGGTTCAGGCTGGTAACGTGGACCTAGTTTTAAGTGTACTAACCTCTGCAGGAGGCCCTGGACTGATGTGGGAGACATTCCCAGCTCTGCATACCTCTGCAGGAAGAAGAAAGAAGAATGAAAACTGAACATGGACTTATGACAGAAGTATGGGCTTCAGCTGCAGGTCAACCAACTCACTGCAGAGAAGGGGTTGTGAGAGGGGGCTGCTGGGTAAGATCCCCACTGCCTGCCTGAGGGGCGGGCCTGAGGGGAGGGGCAGGGCAGGGCAGGGCTTACCCCACTCAGCCCAACGCTGCCCTGTGAGGATGGGGACACCAGAGCAAAGGCGTCGTCTAGGAGGGAGTGCATCTGTTGCCGGGCCTCCTCAATGGATGGCTGGGGTGGCATGTAGGGGGGTGGGGCTGGGGCAGAGTCAAACACTTCATCAGTAGGGGAGGGGCTGCCATGGTCTGGAGGCAGGTCAGGGTCCGACTGTGAGAGATCAGACAGAATATAGTACAGATGTTCAGTGTAAGGTTGATAACAGCGTACCACACAGATCAATCTCTGTTTTCTGTAATTTCCATTATTGTAAAACTCAGCAAGTTTGTGTTTGGACTTCTTATCACTAAAAAGGTAAGAAAGAAAATCACTTTCGGCTTTTTTCCCATTTAGAGGTCGCCACAGTAAATCATCACACTTACGACTCGCATGTTGACATTTGGCACGTATTTTACGCTGGATGCCCTTCCTGACGCAACCCTGCCTTGAACCCGGTCCACAGCAGCTAGAGTGCTGCACCTTAACCACTTTAGCCTACCAGGGATGGCTCTTATCACTAAAAAGGTAATGAATACAAATGTTGTTCTGATGGTTGAAAGGTCACATTGTCACCAAAATGAAAAGGGGTTATCTCCTGTATGCCTATTTAGGGCATGTCACACTCTACACTGTGTCAACAGACACTGGACTAGGACTCCAGGGAGACAACGCCAAATGAACTTTCCTTTAGTTTATATTAGAAAGAACTTTTAAAACAACGGAGTTACCACATCAACACTGTTCCAGTTTTACAACTGTAAACTTAAAGTCTTGCCTGAGCATCCATTTAGATATATCCATGTATCCATATATTTATCGTGGAGAGAGCATTGTCATCGGCATATAAATTTCACTAGAGCAGGCTGAATTTAAACACAAGACCTAAAACACTACCCCGAGGAAGTCCTCATTCAGTTAGTTGTACGATCAGATGTTCTGCTTTCTTTGAACTACTGGATTGATGAAAATGACAGCTTGCCCTTTAAATCCCAGAGCTTAGACCTTTCTCTTGCAAAATCCTATGATCGACAGTATCCAATGTTTCCTGTAGGTCCTGAGTCCAACCAGACCGGAGCTGTACTGCTGACTATGTTATTAAACAGTCTGACACCAACTGAAATCCATCATGAGTTAAGATTCGTTTTGTCTCACCATGTATGCCACGTTGTTGAGACCTGGGTATTTCCTGTAGGTGGCGCTCTGATCAGTGAGCCAGTATCAGAAATCCTTCCTGGTCCCGGCGTACCCTGCCGACCACGAGGAGAGCGCCTCCCTCTGGAAGTCCAAAACCACAGGCATACAGTTACTTGACATTATGGTGTTTACTTCTTGAAGATATAAGGAGTAAAGACATTTTACAGAGCCTCCTCTGAAGTTAATGCTTCTTAGTTACTAAACCTGTGAGCAATGTATATTTGTTGTGATTTGTTGTTACTTGGTCTCGTCTTACTTGGTCCCCTTGTCTTTAAGGTATGTTACACCCGTTTTTCATCTGCTGATCTATGTGATGTTTCTTGATATAAATCTGAAGTGGTCAGGCTGTGATTCAGTTCTGTGGACATCACATGATCTGGGTCATTTGTGATCTGTTCTCTGTTGATTGGCAAGTTGGCTTGCTGAAGCAGACGCCAAATGTGTTTGTCACTGTCACTTGTATAAAACGTTCAAGGAGCCCTTTCCCCATTTATATGTTTAAAACAAAACAGCAGAACTTTAATCAACAGTTAATCCCACAGTTATATGAAGGTATTTGTCAGCTCAGGTGTTCTGGTAAGGTTGTCTGACCTTTTCCTGGAGTCGGTGGGGGTGGGGGGTGAGGGGATGTCAGCCTGCAGGATGCAGTCCATATGGTCGTGGGCGGAGCTGTAGAGTCGCTGTGCTGCCTCGCTCTGCACTGGCCCGTCTCCGAAGGCGTCCATGATGTCATCCATGGAGGGAAACTCACACTGACCGCGTCTCTTAGCACGCTGCCGAAGTTTGTTCCTGTGATGCTCGATCTCTGACTTGTGTCTAAGCGCCACCTGCAGGAGTACAGGTGAGCACTGGAGGGTGCTGATGTCAGACAGGTTTAACATGCCCGCATGATGAGCGGTGAGGGTGTGATGTTTTCATAACTGTCTCACCTCTGTGTTGACCTTCTCTGTGAGGGGGGGGCTCGGTTGTGATGGGGTGTGTGTCGGCGGCGGACTCGGTCGAGGCTGCATGGCAATCAACTGCACCTTGTTGGCCTGCCTACGAGTGCCATCAGATGAACCTCGAGACAGACGGTCCACATGGTCAAAGATGGAGGACGAGGAAAGAAGCTCATCTGGACCACTTCCTGAAGGAGCTGAACAAGAACTGCATTTTGCTCAAATCCTCTCACTTTCAGAATTTGGGTCAGCTTGGGATCAATTCATTAACTTATTTGTAACAACAGAGTGTAGCTTATTGGTATTTTATTATTTTCCACAAAACAGAAATAAAGTTGAAAAACTGTCTTGTTAATACATATACCAGGGTCCTAACATCTAGTACAACATCAGCCCATTCCTGTATTAGGTTAACAGGGTCTAGGCCCTCGGCAGCTGGAACAAAACTTAGGTTTCCATTCTGAGCTACACTCAGGTGGCAGCCAGAGACCATGGACAGCTGTGCACAGTTATGATTAAATCTTATTCATTACATTGCATTCATTCATTTTCTACCACTTAGTCCCTGAATGGGGTCAATGGGGTGGGGGTGGAGCCAATCCCGGCCGGCAATCGGGCGAAGGCGGGGTACACCCTGGACAGGTCGCCAATCCATCGCAGGGCTAACACATAGATGAACAACCACACACACGCACTCCTATGGGCAATTTAGAGACACCAATCAACCTAAGCTGCATGTCTTTGGACTGTGGGAGGAAGCCGGAGTACCCGGAGAGAACCCACGCAAGCACGGGGAGAACATGCAAACTCCAAATTTGGTATGAGACAGCGTCATGTGCCAATTATTTGGTGTTATTGAAACAACATACTGAGCCACATAATGTCACCATCTGGAGGACATACAGGATGTACATACTAAATGTGGTGTAATTTGACACTGTAATGGTGACCTGGAGTTAAAATACTAACATTAAACATACTGTATAGTATGTATCAGCGGTCTCTGACTCACGCCTCCCACTAGCTTCCTCTCAAGCTGGCGCTGCCCACCAAACTGATGAATAGGCTTATTGGGGCCCTTGCACCCAGCACAATGAGGAATCCTAGTATGGCACTACAGCCAAAATATGATCATTAAATATTCAAATATGTGGCACAGTACATTTGTAGTTTTTGCTTTAAACATGATATGAGAACAAACTGGATATGCATGTCAAATTTGTTGAAATTTGACATGCACATAAAAGCAGTTTGAGCTGCAGAGGAGCGCAGCCCCTCCCTCCTCTAAACAGGGACCGACACAGAGAAGACAGTGGAAAAGCACAGCAGGACGGTCCTCGTCGACCTGGGAGGTTATGTCCAGTGACGGTTAAGGGAAGCACAGCGCGGACCGCTCGTTAACCTCCGACAGCGGAAACACAGCTTAATTGTGCCTGTCTGCTGCAGCAGGTAGAGGACAGGGGCTTTTTGCAGCTTCTTAACATTTTCTTCATATAAAAGTGCTCATACATTGAGAGGATGATGATGATACAAATATAAACATACCCATCTTGCTCCTCCCTTCAATCCAGAAGCATTGAAAAGAAAAGAGAGATGAAACAGACTGTACACACATTCATCCCTCTCTCCTCCTCCATCTTCTGTCCTGTGGTTTCTTTTCTCTAACCAGCTGTTTCCCGCTGAGACAGCTGATCTTCATCTCTGAAAAACTGAGGTCATGCTGACATTTCTACATTTCTACACGGGGTACATCCCAGTTCCCTTGTTTGATGTCCTAAACCTGTTATTCCTTCTATGAGGAGCGAGGAGCCTGCTAGAGGAGCCACGAGCAAGGATACAGTAGAGCGGTCTTCATTGAAATCTTTTATGGACTGACATGCTCCTTTAATGAAAATCAGTTGGTGATTGGATGTTTCAGATGATGGGTGTCTCACATCTCTAACAAAGTGCTTCCTTTATTCCTCACTCTAGCACGTTTGCCTCACATCTTATATGGGTGAAGCTAAGATGCAAGAAAAAGACAAGTGGGGGAGGCATGGATGCAGTTAAGGGAATTGAGATGTACCCATGCTTTCACTCAAAAATCAAATGATGGTGTCACTGTATCTCTGACCATTTTTGGGGGTTTTCCTGTGCTGCTTCCCCTCGCTGGGTGTGGCCACAGGCCGGGTGCTTTCCTCTGCCGACTCCCTGCCGCTGGATTGGTCGCTGCCTAACGAGTCGCCATCTGATGGGCTGAGCCTGACAGAGAGGGGTTCATATTTCAGTTAATGCTGTCAGTGAGGAGATTTGTTACATGATGAGCTGAGCTGCAGCCACGCAAAGCAGCTGCATGACAACCACGCTTTTAAAAACCTTTTAATCCAGTAACATTTACATCTTTACCTGCATCAAACAACCAGTGCTGTCCATGATGTTGATTCCTTCTAATGTGTCTTGTCACTTCTACTGTGTGTGCTTTTGGAAAAATCTGTATCAGTTGTATATATAATTGGCTTTCCTTTGGCCTCATTTTCAAATATCACCATGCTGGACACTGCGTGAGTGTGCAAGCACCAGGACACCAGTCCAGGAACTTAGTGTTTCTATCCCTGACACATCTGATATGTTCTATGTATATTCTGTGTGTACTTGCAGATGTATTGAAATCCTCAGTTCCAGCTAATGCAAACTTTCAGAATCAGAGTCAGGCTTTATTGTCATTGCACGTGTGAGTGCAACGAACAAGTGGGTACTCAACTCAACAACAGTGCACCGTAAAACTTTAAAATACAAAGTACAAGAACTATACAATTTACAATTTAAAAGAAAAAGAATACACAGTGTAAGTTTAAAGATAGGAATGTACATTGGTAGGACTATGGAGCCTGTTTAGTGCACGGTGGAACTGCACATTGAATTGAGGTAGAAGATAAGGAGTCTGTGCTGTGGTGTCATGTGCATGGGTATGCATGTGGAGGGAGATGGGGGTCAGTGATTGTTTGCGATCCATATGGCCTATGGAAAAAAGCTGTTTATTAGTCTGGTGGT